AAGACACAGAGCAGGCACGAGAACACGGGAAGGACAAAGGAGAGAAAAAGGTAAAGGATTTTTTAGGGAATGTTCTAAACTGGTGGTGGATGGCAACTGTAATTAACAAATGTGTCTCAACAGCGAATGGGGTTCAGAACTTACCAGCTAGAAGCAGCTGGACAGAGAGTTTTTAGCCATTTTGTTTTATGATTGCTGCAACGTGAGGTCTCGGTGGACAGTAAAAACTGAAACTGGAGCTGCATATATGCTGCTAGGAAAGAATTCTGCTTTGAGGGACCCAAAATTCTCTGACCTGAATGGCTTAAATTGTTCACATTTGCCTTTCTTGGATTATTTTGCATAATATATTCTGCATCCATGGAGTTAGGTAGAGCACTGAATTAATCCACTACGGCTGTAGCTTGTCCTCAGCGCCTTTTGGCATCTGAGATTGTACCAGCCTTCATCCACATATTTTCCAAACCAAATTTTATTGCCCTCAAAAAGAAAACAGCACTTCCTCCTCTTGCGTTCTTTGAGTCAAAGTGATTGGCTTGGTTCAGATAATACAAATACTCACTGTCCAGTCAGGCCCATAGCCAGGGTTTTGTGGCTTGTGGGGCAAATATTTTTTGGGTGGGGCTGCATGAATACCCCCCCACAAAACACCCCACACGCAGCAAGTAATTCTCAAGTTATGTTTAATGCGTGCACAGCTGGATGTGCGATTGAAACTGGTGACTGGGCATTTTCAGGGAAAAGTCTTGTGGGGCTGTCCCTTTAAGAAAGGGGGCGGAGCTTCAAATAGCCCCATCGTAGCTACGGGCCAGTGTCCGTTGGATTCTAAAACAGCATTGCAGTGAGCGGGAATAATGGGGAGCAGTGCTGTGTCGGGATGCCTTGTGCTCTGTGGCTCAGAGCTCCATGACGTTTGATGGAAGATGGTTGGAACAAAACCCTGGGAGCAAAGGTGCAAAGAACACCAACCGAGATGTAGCCTGCAGCAGGTACAAGCTCAGTATAAGCCGCATTACATAGTGTTGGCTTGTGGTTGAAGGGCATTTTTCCCCATAGGAATTGATTAATTTCTCTATAAAATGTTTAATAAAAACGGTAAGTTTAGCATTCTAATACAAAACAGAGTTTTTCTTCTCTGCAGTCCATGGGATCTGAGGACAGTGTAATGAGAAAAACTGAAGAAAGGTCGATAAAAGATAAGGCTGAGCCGGATAAAGAAGTAAGTGACAGAAAATATTGCAGATATTGTAGGTGGAATCGCTTGTTTTTAGACTTCCCAAAGAAGTGACAGTTAGCATGTTAGGCCTCTGCGCCATCCCAAGGTCTTCCGTGGACTTCAAAATGTTCTAATTCTGGTTAGGATGGTGCAGAGAAAGAATGCCTGGAGGCTCCAGCTCTGACTAAGGTAGTCACATAGGTGTTTTCTTGACCAGTATTGAAAGATGTTCTAATTCAACAGCTGTGCATTTGGCACCAGACACATGACTCTCATCTTTAGAGGCCTCATAAACCTCCTTGTCTTGTGTCTATTGATCTTGCTGCTTAACTTTCCGTTTTTGGTCCAGTATTAAGGAGCTGTGGTGGCTCAAGTGGTTAAGACGCTGAACTGCAGGCTGTGGAAGGTCAGTAGTTCAGCAGTTCGAAACCCGGGTGCCGCATGATGGAGTGAGCTCCCATCTCTAGTTCCAGCTCCTGCCAACCTAGCAGTTCGAAAGCAAGAAACTGCAAGTAGATAAATAGGTACCACTTCGGTGGGAAGGTAACAGCGTTCCGTGCGCCTTGGTGCTTAGTCATGCCGGCCACATGACCACGGAAACGTCTTCGGACAGTGCTGGCTCTTCGGCTTTGAAACGGAGATGAGCACCGTAACCCTAGAGTCGGACTCGACTGGCTTTCGAGCAAGGGAACCTTTACCTTTATTTTACTTTATTAACGTGTTGGTTATTTCATTGTTAAATGTAATATTGTAACGTGTCTAGCTGTGCCTCAAACTGTTTGACCTCTGAAGAAGGCCCCCAGGGGGTGGAAACACGTCAGGTTATTGGCCTTTGTGTTCAGGTTATTTGCACATCATCGCGAGGCTTTCACTGGGCCCTTCTTTGTTTTTGACTGTCTTCCTAATACATACATGTCTTTTTGTATATAATAAGTTTACACTAGGTTTTTAACATTGGCCCTTCATCAGGCTTACTTCTTACCGCAGTGAAAGAATAATTCATGATTAGAATTGTACAAGACTTCATAGTCAAAGCCTGGAGGAGGGACAGGAAATACTTTGTATCCGGGATATTCTCACTGTAGCCAGACAGCAGGATGGTGCGATGGAGAGGTCCGAAGGCAGTCATTTGGCATTGCATTACAGGTTGAATGCATGAAAATGGCATGCTGCTGCTTTCGGTGAATCATGTACACGGCTGGCAGTTCTGTCTGACCGTGTGGTCAGAGTTGGAAACTGGCCTTGGAGGTCATCTAGTCTAACCCCTTACTTGATGCAGGAAGGCGCAAATTCAGTATCTTCGACAATTGGCCACCCAGCTTCTGAAGACTAGGCCAGCAGCTCCCAAGCCAGCCTGTCTCACTTTTGAACAGCTCTTAACATTAGGAGGTTTCTCCTAATAGTCAACATCTCCTTATAATTTCCTCCCATCTGTCCTAGTCCTGCCCATTTAGAATAGGGGGGTGTCGACCTGATTTATGATGAGGGCCGGATCTGACATGAATGAGACCTTGTTGGGCTGGGTCATGTGTGTCATAAAATGTAATGCCAGGTAGCGGAGATATAAACTTTATAAAGGACACAAACGCAAAGGGTTTTTTTTTAAACTTAAAAACATGCTTAAAACATTAGCACTCTTGCAATGTTTTGTTTATTTAACAGTGTCTGATAACCGACACCTCTTGCTCTTAATTATTGCATCAAAATGTCTGTGCTGTTGCAATCTTGAGTATGCTGTTCAGGTGCGTATCTGTAAACTGCAAACCTACGATGACACAGCAGCAGCAGAACTGGAAGAAGAAGCAAAAGACAGCCAGTTCCACTGCGGGCCTGAGAGAAACCCTCTGGGGGACTGATCTGGCCCCCGGGCCACATGTTTGACACCCTTGCCTTAGAACATGTGTCCAGAACAAGTCTGCTCAGTCTTCTCCATGACAGTCCTCCAGATGTTTGAAGATGACAGTCATGCCTTCCCTAGCCTTCTTCAACACGCCTAGCGCTTTCCCCCCTTCCTCGTGGGGCTTAGTTTCTAGACTGAGGTTCCTGTCCTCTCCAGACTCCATCCCCAAATCTCCAGTAGTTTCCCAGCCTGGAACTGGTAACCCTCCCCTCCCCCTTCCCCGCCATCTCCTGCCTGTGGCCAGGAGGGATCCGGCAGCCCTAGTTCAGAAACACAAGTTGGTGGAAAGGAATCGCTCTTCCCCTTCCCCTCATAATGCGAAGGAGTCGCTGCGTGTGGTGTTCTTACTGTGGTGCTAACACAACTCTGGTAGCAGTGCATCACGCCAATCTTTCTTGTTGTCCAGTGTATGCCTCTTTTAAAACTCTATTCATCAGTGACTTGCTTGCTCATGGTGCATTGCAGCAAGAAAAGATAATTACTTTTTTTTCACTATCACTTGTTTTTTTCCTGTATCTTTGCAAGGATGAAAGTCCAGCGAGATTATCAAAGCAGCATCCAACAAAGGGATCGCGACATCGAGCCAAAACCAGCAGTGAAGGTAACTAAAAGATTTTTTCCCCTCTGTCTGTTATTCCCTGAGGATTTATAAGTGCAATTTTTTTAAAAAAAATTGAAATAGTATGGAGGAGTCATCTGACTGTAAATTCTTTCATGTCAGGGCGAAAGGAATCTAGTAAAAGTATACCTAGCGGTGCACTTGAAAGAACATCTAGCATATTAAAAGAGGCAGGTGAGCCAGTTATTGGAGTACAAGAGCCAGGTAAGAATTAGCAAGGCGCCCTCTTCCTTGGTCTTTCAGTGCTAAATGGGCATCCCTATTTATAATAAGCAATATCATTGCAATGTGTTTTTCAAAAATTATATCCAGCCTTTCCAGTTTTAGTTTAAGGTGGTTTACAAGACATGCTGAAAGAACGAGAGCCAGTTTGGTGTAGTGGTTAAGTGCGTGGACTCTAATCTGGGAGAACCGGGTTTGATTCCCCACTTCTCCACTTGCAGCTGCTGGATGACCTTGGGCAAGCCATAGTTCTGTCAGAGCTGTCCTTGAAAGAGCAGTTCTCTCAGAGCTCTCTCAGCCCCACCTACCTCACAGGGTGTCTGTTGTGGGGTGGGGAGGGGAAGGGAAAGGAGTTTGTAAGCCGCTCTGAGACTCCGAGTGAAGAGCGGGGTATAAATCCAATCTCTTCTTCTTCTAAAACAAAACCACTTTCCCACTGCTTTGTTGCTACTTTAGTTTTACTTTTTTTGTCATAAAGTCACAGCCGACTTATGGCAACCCCCGTAGGATCTTCAAGGCAAGACATGTTCAATGGTGGCTTGCCATTGCCTGCCTCTGCCTAGCAACCCAGGACTTCAATCATGGTCTCCCACCTAAGTGCTAACCGGGGCCGACTCTGCTTAGCTTCTGAGATCTAATGATATCAGGCTAGCCTGGGTTATACAGGTCAGGGAAGTTTTGGTTTATGAACCTTTCAGTATCGAACTAGTCACAGGGCCCTCTCCTTATTTTAGAATCAAGAACATTGCAGTGCAATCCTAAGTAGAATTACACTTTTCTAAGCCCACTGAAGTCAGCACTTCAGAGTGCACTGCTGGAATGGTATATTTTAGTGGCTGTGCTACTAGTCAGAAGAACCAGGTTCAAGACTCAACAGGATTATGAACTCACTCGGTGTCGTCATAGGGTTGCCAACTTCCAGGTGGCTGCCGGAGATCTCTTGCCATTACACCTGATCTCCAGGGAACAGAGATTAGTGCACCTGGAGAAAATGGCCGCTTTGAAAGGTGGACTCTATGGCATTAAGTCCCTCCCCTCCCCAAACCCTCCCCTCCTCAGGCTCCATCCCCAAAATCTCCAGGTATTTCCCGACCCTAAGCTGGCAACCCGGAAATCATCAGGATGCCCAAAATGCAAGGGTTCTTCCCTCCTGTCTGCCATGGCTCCTGGTGGGAGGTTTCTAGCTCCATTCTTGAATTTATTCTCCCGTCTCTGATAATGAAGGGGTTAGGGAAGGCAGGCATGAGCTTAAACAAAGTTACATCTTTCCAAGTCAGTGGGCTTAGAGCAGGGGTCATTTCCTGCGGGAGCGCACAGAAGTGGAGCTCCGGCAGTAAGGAGCCCGCCCCGGGGGCAGGCACATGCAACAAGCCCCGCCCCCTGCTCCCAGCAGCCCTCAGTTGGGCCACGAGGAGCAAGAAGCAGCCAGGTAAATTGCAGAGCCCCCCCCCCCGGCCCGCCTTCAGGTACAAGCTCTCCCTCTTCCGTGAGGGCAGATCTGCGCGTTTCCCCCCCGCCCCCAATAGCTAGCAATCCAAAACAGTCCAGTGGAGCCTGAGCGGTGGGTGTTGCCTTCTGACACACTTCCGGTGATGTCAGGGGGTGTGGCATATGCAAATAAGTTATGCTAATGAGTTTGCTAATGAGCTCCTGCACCTGTTTTTCTATGAAATGACCCCTGGCTTAGAGGGGTGTAACTCTGTTTAGGGTAGCCACTGTAAGCCCACCGCCAGGTACTTTCATTGTGGTTCTTAGATACCCTGAATCTTTGAGAAGTCTGTGTGCGAATGTCTCTTCTTCAAGGGGTGGAGAGGGCTTCTGCAGCATGTCAACCGTCTTCAACGGTGAATTCATCCGGACAGTGTCCTGTACTTGGGTACCTTTTCATTCTCACATGAACCCGAGTCAGACCACTGGTCTTTCAATGTCAGTATTGTCTATTCTGACTCTCAGCCTTTTAACCAGAGATGATGGGGATTGTATCTGGGACTGTGTGCATGAGAAAAGGGGATCCTGTGCCTCTGAGCCATGGCCCCACCCCGAGGGACAGTCTTCCATTCACTTCCGCTGGCCCTTTAAAAGTGTCCGGCTTCCCCTTCCCCGTCTTGTTCCTGCTTCCCGGCTTCCACACCAAGGCGCAAGACATGGCCTGCTACTGCTGTGAGTGGCTTCCTACTGTATAAACTGTTTAAATGAGGAATAGTGGAAGCCGGTAGCATTGCAGCTTGAATGGGGATGAAAAACTGGCGATGAATTTACCTGGGAAAGCAGACCAAGAATTGTAGGAAAATGAAATGATAGTTTTTGTTCACGTTTTTGTTTCCACTATTTATTAACTTTTTTTTCCTTTTTAACTGGCAGTTATAAGTTCAGAAGTGTACAGTTTTATGTTAAAAAAAACCCCTCCCATTTTAATGCCTTCCTGGGAGTAACCCTGTGTGCGCCCCTCCCCATGTTACATGCAGTGTGGGTGATTCCTTGCACCTTTCCACCCTTCTCCACTTATCTAAAGCATGTTTATACGCTTTAGGAGCTCTGTGGTACTATTGATGTTGCTGTCCCTGCCTAGCATACAGACACCAGGATAGCTAATCCATTTATAGATTTCTTCTAGATGTGAAGAGTAATCAGTATGTGTTTATATTGCAGGTGAATCAGTCAGCGATGCAGGTAAAATTAATATTGAATTTTAACATGAACAATAGACCGGCATGTCTTTGCTGTAATGTGGAAATTGGAAATAGTGTATTTAGTATTCAGCTTGGCAGTTGGATGTGAATCTAATGCTAGTATCTCTTCATGTTAAAATTTGATAAAGGCCACGGGAGTGGTAGAGGAGGGAGACATTACAGATTGCC